ACGCCCACTTTGGTTGTATGAATTTGTTTGCTTTGGAAAATCTTTCACAACTGTTTAAGCTTACATTCAGTCAGGGATTTTCATAACGCCAGCTTCAAAGTCTACATGCTTTTATGGAGGTGTGCATGTTTTGCAAGTATGTATATTAAGTTTGCATACGCTCTTCGTTTATTCGGTGTATTGTTTGCATTTCGAAATTTTGCCAGCGGCAGCAAAATGTAAAAGATTATTACAATATTAAGTAATTATAAATATTTGCACAATTATTATTGCATACATTTAGGGGATCCGGAGGTAGCACTGCAAAATGTTTGCAAGTCTACACGCCGGCAACTGAGGTTTATAGAACTATTTTGTAGTCCATTTAAATTTCAGATTTATAGCAACTTCAATATTTAATAATGTTTATTTTATCTGCCTAAAACAAAAATCATTTCTAATCGCCTGAGAGTATGTTTTCTGATGTATTTGTAGTTCAAGTGAGGTTTACTTTGCTTTGATTGAATTGATTTGAAATTCATTTCATTAGAAGCTTTTCTATGTGAAATTTATTTTATCTGTCCAAATTTGAGCATGAAAATTATATTCTTAGCAAACTTTGTGGCGTAGAAACTAAAAAAGGTATTTAAGTCTCATTTAAAACATTCATTATTTACAATGACGCTTTGGAAAAGAACATTGCACTCAACTAACCACAGCCACAAGTTCAATTTTATATCAGCGCCCCTAAAGTAATAAATGCGAAGAGACATTGTAGGCTTTCAATTTTCATCACAAACCATTTTTTTCATGGACTGTGAGCTCACTAATGAGAGAATTGTATACTGTACGGCGTCCAACTAAGGAGAACACGACTATTTGAATTTTATATATGTCAATTTCGGTAAAAGACAAAATTGTAATAATCATATAACAATATTTTAAACTTCAACCAAATGCGCCAAAAGTAGAATAAATATATAGTTAAATGTGCATTTGCTAACTTTGGAAAATATGTGGAATGAACAACTTAAAAAAAATAAATTGTTCCTATTCGTTAGATAGGCGTTTATTTATTTACATAAGAATCATTTCTTTAAGGAAAAATACGTTTCAAAGTAAGAGCTTTCATATTTTTATTGAAAACAGTAAGTGCGCCGAGAAGTATACTCCATATTCCTGCAATTGCTTTGCTCGTTTTTTTTTAATTAGAAAAACCTTTGAACCAATTTTAAAATATAAATTGCTCTCCCAACAGCCTCAAATAACAGTAATATGCGTCACTTATAAAAAAAGCATACTTTTAGGATGCTAGACAAACTTTTGCCAATTGCTCTCGATTCTGTGCATTCTTTTCGGATGCTGACAAACCTTGGTCAATTACTTACTCCCAATTCTATGCTCTTGACAAATAGTCAAGCTCTGCCTCAAAAATGCTCTAAAACTATACTAAAAACCTCGTGATGTAACTATTGAACATTGATGCGCCTAAAAGATGCAGCGATTTTTATTCTCAAGTTACATACCTTATGACAATACGAATGGAAATTGTAACAGCGAGGTTTTAGTTTTTTAAACTAGAATATTTTTTTTCGAAGGTAGAACGCCTTCAGGATATACAGCCGGACGTCGATAAGAAGACCTAAAGTATTGCTCACTCAAAATCGGTACGCGTTCCAGAAATTCCTGTTCATAGTACTAGCAGAGAATGTTTATTTAATTTTTACCTTAATTTTAATTTAATTTTTTAATTACATTAACATTCTCTGGTACTAGCTTTTAATTTTACAGTTTTTCCGTGTTGGGAGTGGCTGCTAAAAAAATCATGTTGAACAAATTCGACATTTTCGAGATAAAAAATCAAATTAAAACTAAATATACCGAAAACTTCTTTCCTTCTGCTTAAACTAACGGAGTAAGCTAATCATTCAAAAAAATAATTTCGCTCCAACTTAATGATAAAGCTCTTTACCTCAAATAGAAAAAAAAATCGGCTTATCAGAAGAAGATCGCGCGAGAGATTTGGAAAACGATTACCCACAGTTCAGCGAATGCAAGCTATGGCAAGACTTAAACCTCATCGAGTTATAATATACAAAATTCTGTTAGATTAAATCAATTTTATAACCAACACCGCACCCGTTTACTGTACCCCAATGTTCACACCAAATGTGGTCTTTTTAAAAAATGACTAAAAAACACGTTTAAAACTTGACTTCGATCAACTCCTACGTTAAAAGTTTTAAGCTAAAAAGAAACTTAATTTATAGAAGTTGACACAGTTGTCGAAGGGATATGAAATGACGAGAGAATCGAATCAGTCTTATTAAAACTCGATCAGACTCCACAATGGGTCATATTACCCCAAAAATATGCTGGAAGGAGTGCTTGCACAAAGTATTAAGCCATTGTATCATTTAGTTTAAACCCTTAGTTATTTACACCTTTAATTATTCACAGGTAACTTTAGATCCGTTTGAAGCCAACGATGTGAATAAAATTTTGAAAGTCATCAATTAACGAATATGTTCCATTTACGTCAAATCGAAAAATACGCGGTATTTATTTAAAACAAAATTAGTAAAGATGTGCGAACTATGGAAAAACATAAACTAAAGATAGTTTAGTAGAACAAGTTGGCTACTCAAGTCCCTAGAACGGGTGTTCAGAAACATTTTATCATTTTCAAAGAAATTGTCCCGAATTTATTTAATAATAATAATAATAGATTGGCGCTTACACATATGTTAGTGTTTGGCCGAGCTTCTCCTCCGATTTGTGGCGTGCGCCTTGATGTTGTCACACAAAGCGGAGGGACCTACAGTTTTACGCCGACTCCGAACGGCGATTGTATTTTTATGAGAAGCCGTTTTTCATGGCAGAAATACACTCGGAGGTTTGCCATTGCCTGCCCGAATTTATTTATCCAAGCAAAATACGAATCTTTCGCTACCATCTATCAGTACCGGAATACTGCCTTTTATTTTAATATAGCAAATATTATTTTCTGAAAACCTGTTAAAAGATATAACCCATTCCATGCGTACCGATTTTGAGTGAACTATGCTTTACAATTATGCTTAGGGCTTTAGTCAATCAAGCCAGCAAAAGCAAAAATTGCATATTTTTAGGTTTCAGAGCGGCCAGTGCTTTCAAAGTGAAAGTGTTTTTTTCAAACAAGCTTTTACAAGCATCTAGACACATCCAGCCTGTACGAAAACTTTTAGCAAATAAAAGTGAAAAACTCTCAGAATTTACTATGCTATAAAATAGAATTGCATACTTTTAGGAAAGAAGCTATTACCTTTTAATTAGGGATTGGTAAAATTTACTTTTGTCACAAATGGCAACAGGTCGCTAAATTGTTTTAAAACACCTTTTTAAAAGATTTCCAAGATTTTAAAATTGCATACTTTTAGGGTTCAGCACCAGTAACTTATTTATAGCTAGAGACCGGAATTGATGCTAAAAAATAAGCCTAAAAATATGTACCATCTCAACTATTACCAAAATTTATAAACTCGTATACACTTTGCTTATTGGCAGGTTTTAACCATGTTTTTTTTTGTTTTTGGTGTTTAATTTAAAATATTTTTTATTTATAAAATTATGGTTTAGTTTTTAACAAAAACCTTATAAAACCAAGTGAAATATTTAAAACACCTCAACAAACTTTCGTAAAAATTTAGAAAACGTTAATTAGACTACTTAAACGAATTTTGGGTAGGCAGTTTTGTAACCTTTTCAGTTTTAGTACAGATAACTGATAACAAGTCTCAAGTTTTTTAAATGGGCAACACCTTCAAAAAATTTGTTGTTATACTGAAATTTAATGAGCTACAAAACAGCATACTCAAATTTTTTCGAGGAAGGTGTAGTAAAAATTGTAAAAACGTTTTTTTAGCATAAAACTCCGAGCTCTATCTACGCTAAATAGAATTTACTTGAAATTTCGTAGTTCCGATAATCACCCAGTTTTCCTAAGGGTATGCTTGGACCTCGACAATGCCGCCCTTAAAACAAATTGCATACTTTTTGGCTTCAGTTCTAGTAATTTGTTGAACGACCTTATAAAGAAGTCCCCTCTTTTTTAGTGTTCAAAATCAAAGGCTAAAAAAGTATAATGAAATTATTTCGAAAATTGGTTGTTGCATACATCTAGGCGCTGACGCAGTTTTTAAAACATCTCCTCCACATTCATTGCTTTTTCCATGCCTTTCCGCCAGCAAGTGCCACTTTTCCATTCGCCTCGCCAACAGCAAATATTACAACGACAATCTTAATTTATGCTACATTCAGCAGCTCAGCAAATCCTACTTAGGCTTTTAATTCTCCAGGCAGATACTTTATTAAACATAAATTTCACCGTACAACATTCACATATAAACTTAAGTATGTTTGTGTTGAACAAAAGCGCCTTGCGCATAAATACTTCAAACTTTAAGCCAAGCAATATTTACCTATTGGCATTAAATTGCCTTACCTTTCGACTTGCATGTAGTCTACTTACTATTTATAGCCTACTTGCAGGCGTGCATAACTTTCACGTTACTTAATTATGACCAAATGTATGTGAAGTATGTATGTATGTTTATTAGGGTGGGCTGAAAGTTCCACAATTTCAAAACCTTTAACGGCCTAGTGATAAAAATTTGCCTAAGGGAAAGAGAAGTTGAGAGCAAAAAGAAATTTTGAAATTCTTTAATATTTTACCCTCGCGCATGGGGATCACAATTTAGAATTTTTTTTTTTTAATTTTGATGCTTTTCCAAATTTTTTTTACAATTGCTTATGCTTTATTTTAAACCTCTAGGAGTAATATTTCAACACATTATATGCAAAGGCGTGCTGGGTTTAAATTTGGAATTGGGAATTTCCTTTGCGCCGCCCCATTTTTTAATTTTTATACCCGAGCGCACTTTGTTCACATAACATATTTTGCATGTTTGATTCTTACATGCTTTTTTTGGGTTGACAAAATTTAAAAAAAATTTTTTCCCTCCCCTGACAAGCTGCCGCCCTTTTTTTTTAGTTAGCAATGTCGTCAGACATTAAAACGTTGGCCAGGTATCTTATTAACCTCAGGGGCCAGGTTGTCCAAACAACTTTAGCAAGTTCTAATTCGTCTTTGTCGTAAGCGTATATCCACAGGCAGGTCCAGCGAAGGGAAGATCCCACGAAGACCAAGAGTGGTGGCTTACAACTTGAAACAGAAAAACTAAGACGCAAAGAATTACACAGTGACAAAATTAGAAGTCAAAACGTAAGATAATCAACTAACTCTAAGTAACTTAAACTGACCTCACAAAGCAATTTAGGCACTTCAGAAATTTGGGATTACACCCAAAAAAAAATTTGTAATCTACTTCTTTTTTTTTTAAAAAAGAATACATTGACTCCATTCTTAATTAATATTATTCTTATAATTTAAATTATTTATATATTTTTTATTTTTTTTTTTTTTTAATAATTTGTACTCGAATTGTACTTTAGTAAGCACTACAAGGGTGCGAATCACAGCCATACAAATGCAATACAATCATTTAATGAACAGTCTTTTGCAATAAAAATCACCAATACGAATTTCAATTACTCGAAATTTTATCTTTTTTTGTTTTCTTTTTTTTTTCCAAACTCTACTCTTCTAATATACATAACTATATGTACACATATATTACTATACTTATTATTATTAATGTATATTTCAATCTCATTAACCCTAAAGGACTTTGTCCAGCTTTACCTTGTGTAGAAAGTGTATTAGCTCACTAAATAGATACAAATTAGAATTATTAAAAAAATCTTTTAAATTATTACAATTGTTAAAAAAGGTATACGTGCTTCTAGCGGCTGAAAATTTACTACACTGAAAAATAAGGTGATCACTAGTCTCTCTGATTCCACATACATCACACAAATCATTTACACCTCATAGAAATTTGCTTAGAAACGTCCTACCATATGTGTGCCCCATCATCAACCTGTTAACTAATTTGATATCATGAACACCAAAATTACATTTTTTGTCAGTAAACCAAGGACGCCTTTTGATATCACTGATATTACCCGCAAAAAAACTACCTTTAGTACAACTAATTTCTCTAAACTCCACTTCCCACTCAGTCCAAATAGCACTTTGAATTTTACATACAGCCTCCCCCAAGGTGAGATCCATTTCGATGGGTAATCCCTCACTAACTGCAGCTCTTGCAAAATGATCCGCTTTTTCGTTAATTCCAATACCTACATGACTAGGCACCCACACCAACATGGCACTGACGCAATTTGACTTAGCAATCATATTGTGAATGGACGCAACTATAAAATTTGTAGAAGCCTTCTTTCCTATCAAACGTACCGCCGCTAGACTATCCGTGACTATGACCCACCTGTTTATGTTTTTTTTAAGTAAAAAGCTAACTGCTTGTCTAATCGCCACTAACTCTCCAAACGTGGATGAATATTTCCCATCCAGCTTAAACATTTCCGAAATTTTCTCCTGAGGGTCATAAAAAGCCAAACCTACAACATTATTCACCACTGATGCATCCGTAGCCAACAGATAACATCCTTCCTCAGCCCATTTGCTAAATTTATATCTGAATATGCTATTAAGTTGCTCTTTACTAAACTCACACTTGGACCTTCCCAAAGAAGAACTCTCCACACGAAAATTAGTATGTCTACTAAAAGTAACATTTACATTAATTTTGTTAAATAGATGTCGAAACTTGGAATAAATAAAACTGTAGCTCGATTTAACAGAGCTCTCGCCCATCAGATCTTTCCTCAGTTCTTCATTCACAAGCCATTGCTTGCCTAATTCCTTGGCCACAAGCCATTCCGCCCTTTTAAGAGGCGGCAGCTCACCAGCCAATGCAAATCTCGCATGAATAGGAGAACTTGGTGGAAGCCCTAGACACCTCCTTAGCGTATCATTTGAAATACCCTGCAGTTTCTTATTAAACCCTCGAGGAGCATTAGCATAAGTCGTGTTGGCATATTCAGCTTTACTTCTAATAAAGGCTTTATAGAAGTTGATAGCCACTTTGGGTTCCAACCCCCCCTTAATAGTCGTAAGCTTCTTAATCAGATTTTTGCCTGAGCTTGCAGCGCTTTTTACCTTATCCACATGATTACTTATTGACGCATTAGCACAAATGGTCCTACCCAACCATTTAATACTCTTTACCTGCTGCACTTCCGTCCCATCCAGTCTAAGCGAAAAAGTTTTATTACTAGTTGAATTCATTAATAGAAATTTAGTTTTACTGACATTAATATTCAGATTTAAGCTATTAAGCATGGTTCTAATTTCATTTAACTTAAAATTTAACCTATCAATTGCCTCACAATAACTGTTCCCGCTACATAATAGCGCAAAATCATCAGCAAACTGAAAGACTTTTATGTTATCATCACCCAAGCAGTGCAAACTTGCAGTATATAGGTTAAACAACAGTGGCGATAAGTGGAAAAGAAATTTACCACCCAGTTACGAATCTTATTTTCCACCCTAAACCCAGCCAAAATTTCCCCCAGCAGTGAGATATCAACACAATTATAAGCATCAGATATATCTAATACACACATAAACACTTTCTTTTTCCCTTGTTTAAGCCTACCAGCCCAATGCAAGCATTCATTTAGGCACATCGAGGCCGACTTCCCTTTGCGATACGCAAAGCTATTGCATGGTAAGATATTGTTACTTTCAACCCAATTATTCAATCTATCCTTAATTAACATGTTCAGACATTTCACCACAACAGAAAGTAATGAAATCGGCCTAAAATTCCTAAAATCACTTAAATCTTTATTGGCTTTTGGAATCGGAACAATCTTAATCGTTCTCCACTCCTCTTTTACAATGTTACTATTGAAACAAGATTCTAACTCTCTCACAAGACATAATTTCGTTTCATATGGCAGTTTATTGACCATATCAAACGTAATTCTGTCAGCTCCACCAGCAGATTTCTTTTTACGTTTTAACACTACATCCAGATCCTCAACCAAGAAATTAACTACCTCATCTCTTTCATTAACCATACTGGGTCCACTTAAGACTCGCCAACCACTGTTGCCACCCTGCTGATCCACCTGATTCTTAAGATGGGTGAGATATCTGCCGTTATCCTCACTAATCCACTTAGTACCATATCTACCTCCTTTAACTTGATTAACAAATCTCCAAGCATCGCATCACCAGAGTTTGGACATTCATTCAATTGCATTATTCTAGATTTGTAACTATTACTTTTGACCTCTTTTACCTCTTTCTTCCACACCTCCTCTAATTGTCGGAGTTTTTCAAAATCCTGAACACGGTTCGTTAAAGCAGCTTTTTTCCTCGCCGCCAAAACCAGCCTAAAACGCTTTTTTAGCTCCTCATTCCACCAAGCCTTAGGGAATCTTTTGAGAGAATTTAAATCAATTGACGCATTCTTAATCTCATTTTGTACTGCATTTACAATACTATCCAGTCCCCCACTAACAACACAACCCGCAAGAGCAGAAGCAAGTTTTCTCTTTTGCAAAAACATATTAGGCCTTTTAGCTACATTTTCTACTTCAAAAACAATAGGCCTATGATGGCTTCCCCCAACATATCCCAGATTACATTCCCATTTTAACCCTCCAGAAATATTTGTGAACGATAGATCCAGCACAGATAAACCCTGCTGAGTCACCCTATTTACCACAAAAGTCGGATTGCCATTATTTAAACATACCAGCCCAGCCTTCATAGTAGCATTTTTGAGCACTCTACCCTTAGGTAGGGCTGCCGCCCTGGGAATTTCCCAATTTCCAATACGGCCAGCACGCCACTGTTTATATGATATCGTTTTGTATGTACCTATATTTTAACATATGTATTATGTCATATAAAATGGTTTTTGTATGCAGCTCTTGGCACGAGCAGCATATCTAACTCGCCTCAGAACTCACCACGGGAAGGTAGCTGCAACTATAGTTCCACCCACGCCCTTCCCAACCAACCAACCAAGAAGAGCCAAATACTACCCTCTAGTTATTGTCACTTACCGATTTATTAAATCTTCACGTTGAAGTGTGCCTTGTTTGTAAAGGATGACATAATTTCTCTGGACAGCAACATAGTTCGAATGAAACCATCGCTATTTTTATAGCCAACAACATGTTCTGCTGACTCCGTTACTAATTTAACGCAACGCTCAACTGATTGAGTGTGGCAGGGAAAGTCCCTAATATCCCAATTGGGAACAGACCCCGATTCTAGGAGTGATGCGATATATTCAGTTGAAACATGGCGCAGAAGAGGTGGAGAAGATAATTCAGTGGAGTCCCAGGCGATCATTTCTGAATAATTTGTCGAATCAAAGTAAATTTTTGGAACAAAAAAATCTCGAACTACCTTTTTTTTTTTCGCAGGCGATTTTCGAGCCTCAATGATTTTTTTTAGACCAAGTTCTCTAATATTTTTTGTTTTGTCCATTGACATTGCTAAGACTATGTTCTCAGGATGGACAAAGAACGCGTTGCGTTGGATAACAGGATCTACAATTTGGAGAAGATTTTCTGTTAAGTACCTGGATATTTCAATAGCTTTGAATACGTGCTTTGGTCCGTCTGTAAAAGAACTATCCTTTTTTATTGCAAACCATACGGGCATGTAACACTTAAGTATGAACTTGACTATCTCTGTGAGTTCATTGGAAGGATTCACAGTTGATACATATAATCTCAGAATTCGATTTGCAGTTGTCGGCCACCGAGAATGACATAAAGGTCCTGGATCTGAAATAGCTAAATCCGGAGGGCAGACTCCTGACTTAATAGCTGAAGCAATATTCAGAAGATACCTCTGATCTTTAGAAAGATATTTTTGAATTTCCTCATCAACAGAGATGATTTCACAATCAATGATTTCAAATGTAACGATGGGTAACTTATTACAGAGAAGAAGAGACTCACCGATAGGACCAGAAAACGATTTAGGACCTGCAGTTGGACCATCCAAATACTAAAATAAATGTCTGAATGGAAGTTCATTGAAGTGCAATAAACAAATAATCCACTGAAGGGGTCTTTTGAGAACCATTTCGATATTGTGAATTACACCATTTTTCCATCCAGTATTAGTAGCAGTTCCATCGCAGCCAATAGCATCTTAGTTCTCAAACAAAATTTTCAATTCTTTTGAATGAAGAATGATACTATCAGTAATGTTTTTCCCAGAACTTGAGCTCGGGGAAACATGACTAATGTAGTTAGACCCTGGTTGTTGAATCAATGAAATGTGTTCTTCTTTAATCACTCTGCGAAAGTTTTTTGAGGGCATTTTTTCAATAGTTAGAGTATTATATTTTCTGCCATCAAAATATAATCCTCGGAGAATAAGAACGTTATTCTGTAAACTAGATCTCAATCTGGTCTTTTCTCGTCTTATTTTATTTTTGTCAATAACTAGTGACTTGTCAGATTGATTAATAAGGTTAAAATCTTGTAAAACACTTGAAGTAATTGCTGCTGTTGCCCTCTCAGAAACTCCATACCTATCACCTACTAATGCAGTCGACTGAAGTTTAATTCTCATCTGTTTACCTGATAATGACCTATATTTCTTTGACGGAATAAAATTTTCGTCTTCATCGTCGTCTTTCGATTCAATATTGTGCCGCTGAGTTTCTTTTTTGCACGCTTGAAGGGAACTGTCATCTATGATTACTTTTTCTAAGTTAATGGCAAGAAATTTACGTGAATATTCTGATATCCCTCTTTTTAATCGAGAATGTTCTTGCTCTTTTCTAATAAATCTTTTATTAAGTTTTTTTGATTCTTGTTTGTCAACTGAACCAATTTTCCAATGTCTACCATTTCTTTGTTCATATACAAATTTTATCTTAGGAAGTGGTATTTTATATGATGTATCACAACAGCAGTTAATAGAAGTTGAAGTATTGCAAGTTTGCATAGTTTTCCCACAAACACAATTCAATTCCATTTTACACTTGCAGGATGCTACGTCGAAAAGTTTTTCAGCTTCCTTTTGAAACTTTTCAAGTCTGCTTTTATAATTTTGTTTTTCTTTATCTCTGTTGTAAGATTTTCTTAAATTGTAGTACGAATCGTGGTATAATTTTATTTTTTCTGATATTTTTTTTTCGCTAATAGTGGGAATGGAAGCAAGATTATAAATTGACACAATTTTTTGTGCAACTACATTTGTTACGGTAGAAAAGCAGACGGTGCTATAATCTACCACAGAAGCCAGGTTAAAACGTTATTCAAAGCAACAATTCATGACTTCTTTATATGTAGGAAGTTGAGAAGTAGGTAAATCCTTTGGAGTACCAAAAATCGGACAGAAAAATGTTTTCCTGCTAATACGGTTCTTCGAGGCTTCCATCTTTTATTGACATGAATACCTGTACTATAACGCAAAATGAAAAAAGTCAACGATCAAATAACTGTTTTTAATTTTCGTGACTCATGTATAACAAGTTTTAAAAATTTTGTGCAAACTGGTCAAAAATCGATATCTTTCACTCCAATGCGCGAGGGTCAAATATTAACCGATTTCAAAAATTCTTTTTGCTCTCAATTTCTCTTCTCCCAAGGGAACTTTTTATCACTGGGCCATTTAAAGTTTTCGAAGTTTGGTACTTTCGGCCCACCCTAATGTTTATTAGTCCGTAACACCAAAAAGTTTCGCAGTACCTACACCTCTTAGTCTAAAAATTTTTTTTGGCCGAACGCAGGAGTCGCCTTTTCACAATTTTCGTCTTAGCTATAGAGTTTACAGTCGCATCTTAAAGCATGATATATCGTTGTTCTTGTCTCGATGAGGCATTTTTTTTGTTGTCGTTTTTTCCATTGACCTCAATCACCCCGTTCTAATACTACCCACCAGAACTCAGTTCCTAACACCCTAACGTACCACCCTATTAGCAGTAAATTAAAGCTCTCCAGAAGTAATTAAACTTTTGCATAGAAAGTTTTTTGATTATTCCAGTAGAAAAATTGTATTTTATTTTTGCCGAATGTCGGGATCACCGAAAAAAGGCGACCCGTATCTAGTATCGGCCAAAAAAATATAAAAATCCGAAATTGCCTTGCAAAAATACCTCAAACCCAAGGCGAACTTTTTTTGTTTGCTTATAAGGTGGTACGGTCTAATGTACCTACATAATAATAATAATAGATTGGCGCTTACACATATGTACATACCTATATGCAAGCCAATATTTTTAATAGCACATACATGAATTAAAGCTTTTTATGTAACAGCTTAAGATATTTATGTATGTATTTCTCTTAATAAATAAACATACATTGGCGGGATAAATAATAGACTCGCCTTACTTTGAAGAGTTTTGGCTACATTTTCACGGTGAATTTTATGTTTAATATTTTTTTATAAAAGCCTGGCTAGTGATACAACAAATACCATATAAATCTCCTTTTCAAACTTTACATAAAA